TCGGTGCAGCATGGTCGGGAGTGGCTGCTCCGTCATCAAAAACACAGACGGAAAGGAGGGGAGATAAATCCTCCGTAGGAAGATTGGTGTAACAGACCTTGACCGCCGTGTGGGCGGGTGGGAACGCGACGAAGACGCGTCTGCTGTGGTTCCCTACGATTTCCCCTCAATTGCGGATAGACCTTTCGCCTTTTACGAGGGCTGTCGTGCCTGCTGGCGTTGGCTGCGTCCTCCGAGGGTGGGGGCAAGGCGTGGATTCATTTGGCGCTCGAGCAGCTGCGACTACCTGGAGGCACATGTGTGTTCCCAAGTGGAAGTCGTTCAAGTTTCTGCAGGTTGGCGCCTCTGAAAGCGCTGACTGAGATGCAGTGCATGACCTTGAGGTAGCTGACCTTGAAAAAGGACGCCGGACGTCGGCTACAACAGCCTAATGAACGGGCTCCGTTATCGCGTTCGTCCTAGACGAGGACGGTATTGCAAGGTCGTCGCGTTAGACTGTGGCCATTTTTGTCGCCACATCCGCTTCCGTCCGGTGACTTGGCTGAGACGTGCCATTACTTCACGGAAGAACAGGTGTAGTCAGTCTGTTGCTGCTGCTCGATTTCCACACTGTAATGAGTTAAAATGCATTTGCAGCATCACGACTAGCTAAATACTGTGACTTAGAAATTTGCCAACAGGCGGGGCTAATTTGGTCGGGCTTCCCCGGATGGAAGATTATGTCGCTGTGTGCTATTTAGGGCAACCTTAGACGCGAGATCCGATGGATGATAGAACATTACTGACAAAGATGAGGGAGGGAGAGAGACCGAAATTGCCATTTCTGCCTTACTAGCCGTCATCAGCCAGCCATGCCTAACTACAGGTCTTGCGTCGCCCGAGACTCGAACCTGCGATTTGTGGCCTGGACTTCCAACACTCTAACCCATTGCGCCACAGGCTCGTGGTCTTTAGATCGGCTGATATTCATATTAGTGCATAAGCATTAACTGCTCACCGATTTTCTCAGAAGCACAAGAGTCGTTTCGTACGCAATTGTCTGACTTGGATAATTGTTGTTTGTAGATCACATATATTATAGTGCTTAGTTCGAGCATTAACTTGTACCATTGCCCCCCCCTCCCCACCCTCCTTGTGGCTTCCAACCTTCTTGTTATATGTGTTCCTTAAAAAATAGTGCATACCCTTTGTTATGCTGTTGTCTAGGCTGTTATAACGGAGGCCCAGACCGAGATATTACCGCGCAATGCGTCGCCAAATTAATGTAACGAATGCCCAGGCCAAAATATTCGCCGTCTAGTTACGCCTCGTGACCCCCCAAAGAGAGAACACAAGAGGAAGTGTGCAGAGGCGGAAGTCTTTGAGTGTTAGAGGTACAACCCATTTAGGGAAACGAGCGTGTGTAAGATAGGTCCACGAACAAATAAGATTGTTTTCTGGAATAGTGGCCGGTCCCATTGGTTGTTTAGCTCAGTGGATGCCTGTG